CAGCAACCACACCGAACAGCAAAAATTAAAAAAAAATTTAAAAAAATTAGAATATGTTAAGAGAATTCCGTGACATCATCAAACTTAATAACATTTGCATTATAGAGATCCCAGAAGGAGAAGTGAGAGAAAGAAGGGGGTAGAAAACTTATTTAAAGAAATAATAGCTGGATCATTCTTCAGCATAAATCACCTATTAGACCACAAAACAAATATCAATAAATTTAAGACGACTGAAATATCAAACATCTGTCTTGACCCCAATGGTATGAAACTAGAAAACAATTATAAGGAAAACTAGAAAAACACAAACACATGGAGTCTAAACAACATGATACCAAACAACAAATGGGTCAACAAAGAAATAGAAAACACATGGAGACAAATGAAAATGAAAACATAATGGTCAAACATCTTTGGGGCATGGCAAAAGCAGTTTTAAGGGGAAAATTTATAGCAATACAGGCTTACTTCAAAGCACAGTGAAAATCTCAAATACATAACCTAACCTTACACCCAGAGGAGCTAGAAACAGAACAACAAAGTCCAAAGCTAATAAAATGAAGAAAATAAAGATGAGAGTGAAATAAATGAAATAGAAACTAAAAAAAGAAAAGATCAATGAAACAGAAAGCTAGTTCTTTGAAAAAATAAATAAAATTGATAAGGCTTTAGCCAGACTTATCAAGAAAAAGAGGGGGCTCAAATAAATAAAATCAGAAATGAAGGCGGAGAAATAACAACCAACACTATACAAATAAAAAGAATTATGAGAATATTATGAAAAATTATATGCCAACAAATTATACAACCTAGAAGAAATGGATAAATCTCTAGAAATATACAATCTTCCTGGACTGAGTCAGGAAGAAGTAGAAAATTTGAACAGACTGATTAATAATAATGTAATTAAAACAGTAATCCAAAGACTCTCAACAAATAAGAGTCTAAGACCAGATGGTTTCACAGATAAATTCTACCTAACTTTTAAAGAAGAGTTAACCTCTATTTGTCTCACACTTTTCCAAAAAATAGAAGAGGAAGGAAAACTTCCAAATTCATCCTACAAGGACAGGATTACCCTGGTACTAAAATTTGACAAAGACACAAAGGAGGAGGAGGAGGAGGGGAAAGAGGAGGAGGAGGAAGAAAGAAGAAAGAAGAAGAAAAAATGAAAATTACAGGCCAATATCTCTGATTTATAAAAATCCTCAACAAAACTGAATTCAACAATACATTAAAAGGATCATTTCTCACAGTCAAGTGGGATTTATTCAAAGAATGCAAGGGTAGTTCATCACATTGACAAGAGAAAGGATAAAAGTCATATGATCATTTGAATAGATGCAGAAAAAGCATGTGAAAAAGTATAGCATCAATTCATGATAAAAACTATCAACAAAGTGGGTTTATAGGAAACATACCTTAATATAATAAAAGTCATATATGAAAAACCCATAGCTAACATCATACTAAATGGTGAAAAATTGAAATCTTTTTTTTTAAGATCAGGAACAAAACAAGGATGTCCATTCTCACTACTTTTATTTAACACAATACTGGAAGTCCTAGTCTCAGCAGTCATACAAGAAAAAGAAATAAAAAGTATCCAAATTGGTAAGGAAGAAGTAAAAGCATCACTATTTGCAGATAATATAATACTATATATAGAAAACCCTAAAGACTCTGCCAAAAAACTATTAGAACTGATAAATGGATTCAATAAAATCGCAGGACACAAAATTAACATACAGAAATCTGTTGCATTTCTATACAATTGCACCCAAAAGAATAAAATACCTAGAAATAAATTTAATCAAGGAGCTGACAGACCTATACTCTGAAAACTATAAGACATTGAAGAAAAAAACTGAAGACGACACAAACAAATGGAAAGATAAGCCATGTTCATGGTTAGAAGAATTGAAATCATTAAAATGTCCATACTACCCAGAGCAATCTAAGGGGTCAATACAATCCCCATCAACACACCAATAATATTTTTCACAGAACTAGAACAAATAATCCTAAAATTTGTATGGAACCACAAAAGACCTCAAATAGTCAAAACAGTCTTTAGGAAGAACGAAAGTGAAGATAACCACAATTCCAGATTTCAAGATATAACCCTGATGGTTATAATAATCAAAAGAGTATGGTACTGGCACAAAACATAGACACATAGATCAATGAAACAGGATAGAGGGCCCAGAAATAAACCAACATCTATATAGTCAAATAATCTATGACAAAGGGGACAAGAATATACAATGGGGAAAGACCATCTTTTCAACAAATGGTATTGGGAAAAGTGGACAGCTACATGCAAAAGGATGAAATGGACCACTTTCTTATACCATATATGAAAATAAACTCAAAATGGACTAAACACTTAAATATAAGACCTGAAACCATAAAACTTCTAAAAGAAAACACAGGAAATAATCACTTGGGCATCAGCCTTAGCAACATATTTATGGATATGTCTCCACAGTCAAGGGGAAAAAAAGGCACAAATAAACTCTTGGGACTACAACAAAATAAAAAGATTTTGCACAACAAAGGAAACCATCAGCAAAACAAAAAGGCAAAAGGCAACATACTGAATGGGAGAAGGTATTTGCAATATATCCAATAAGAGGTTAATATACAAAACATATAAAGAACTTAATACAACTCAACACCAAAAAAAAAAAAAATCTGATTTTTAAAAGTAGGCGGAGGACCTGAATAGACATTGTCCCAAAAAAGACATACAGATGGCCAACAGACACATGAAAAGACACTCAGTATCACTAAACATCAGGGAAATGAAAATCAAAACCACGATGAGATAGCACCTCACACCATAGGTGTGAATGGCTAATATCAAAAAGACAAGAAATAACGACTGTTGGCATGGATGCTACAAAAAGGAAACCCTTGTGCACTGTTAGTAGGAATGTAAATTGATGTAGCCACACTGGAAAACAATTCCTCAAAAATTAAAAAAAAAAAAGATATATCACATTATTCAGTAATTCCACTACTGGGTATTTACTCAAAGGAAAAAAAAACACTAATTCAAAAAGATAAATGCACCTCTGTGTTTATTGCAGTATTATTTACAATAGTCAAGATATGGAAGCAATGCAAGTGTCCACCATAGATGAATCAATAACAAAGATGTGGTATATACATGCAATGGAATATTAGTCAGCTGTAAAATGAATGAGTTTTTGCCATTTGTGACAACATTAATGGACCCAGGGGGTAGTATGCTAAGTGAAATAAGTCAGGCAGAAAAAGACAAATACCATATGATTTCACTGAACATGTGGAATCTAAAAAACAAAACAAACAAATAAAAAACAGACTCTTAAATATAGAGAACAATCAGGTGGTTGCCAGAGGGGAGGCAGGTTGAGGGTAGGGCAAAATAAATAAAGGGGATTAAACGGTACAAGTTTCCAGTTATAAAATAAATAAGTCACTGAGATGAAAAGTACAGCACAAGGAATATGGTTAATACTATTTTAATAATTTTGTACAGTGACAGATGATGACTATACTTATTGTGGTAACTTACAGAATTATCAAATCAATACGCTGCACATCTGAAACTAATATAATGTATGTCAATTACATCTCAATAAAAAGTTTCTTTAAAAATATTATATAAGCACTCATTGAGCATTTAGAGGGTTATAAGCAAAATACAAGTGGGATCAACTGAGATAAACGTAGGGCAGACTGAGTTTGTTTCCTGATTCTATTAACTATGAGCTGGGTCAAATTATCTCACTTTTCTCTTTGTTTTTTCCTCTGATTAGGGTAAATAGTAATAGCATCTATCTCAGAAGATAGTCATGAAGAAATAGATAAGCACATGTAAGGAGCATAGAATAATGCCTGGTAACAATATGTCCCCAATAAACTACACAGCAAGTGACTGAGTCATGATGGGGATCCAAGAAAAATGGGCACTAAATATGTAAAATTTGCATTAATGGGTATTAATACCCCTTATATAACATTTTGTGTTTTTAATGTCTATTATTTTATTTGATACTTAAACACAACTGTGAGATGAGTAGTACAGGTAGCATTCCTTTATCTTATTCGATGGTCAGAAAACAAAGTCTCAAAAATGGTGACCTGGACATTGTCACATGGCTTATTATTAACCAGTCAAGATTTTTAGCTAGATCTTATCATGCCATTGTTCACACCCACTGCATGTGGCCACACTGTCTTTATTTTGCCTCAGCCAGAATAATGCTCAATGATTCTATTCACTATGGGCGTATCATCTTCTAACAATTTCTGAGACTTTTTTTTTTCTGAGACTTTAAATAGAAATGAATTATCAACAACCATTTCAATGTGTATGAGTATTTTCCCCAGATTTTTCAGCTCAATTTAAAATATACAACCAATTACAAATTATCGCAGTTAAATTTGTAAGATGCATTGAATTTTAGTGGCACCAGATCCTTTTGGAAATAGGAGACTTGTAAATAGTAACTGTAAAAATAAATTGTTTTACCAGTATCTTCTTACTGGGGGGTTTACAATGTTTTCCTGGTTTTGCTCAATGTGTGGCTCAGTCAACCTATAGTATTCTTCTGTCTGTGTTTTGACATTTTCTTCTAAAGTGCCCCACGCTGTCTTTGTTGCTCAGTCTTTGCTGCTGCTTCTTCTGGGAATAGTTTAGTCTGTGCTGCTTTGCATGTTTCAGAGGTTTGCAGGCTTCCTTTAGCAGTAACTCAGTGTTTGCTTGTTGTCCCTATTATTACTAGGGTACATGGACCTTACTGCAAAAACCTATACACTCATGTTTCACCATGTCTAATGTCTTTTTTTTTTGCACTTAAAATTTTTTCTGCTTTTTTCAAACAAGATCCCATAGTAGATACTTCACACATTTAACTACCTTGGCTTTCTCATAGCCAAATACCCATTTGGCATTTACACAGGCTCCAATGGGCAGACATAACCTTCTTTTACTGATTGTACAGGCTGGGAAGAATTCCCGTCCACCCTCCCCTCAGGAAATCCTCTGATTTGTAGCTGGAAAGAACTGCTGTCGCGCAGAATCCCCAGAAAGTCAGGTACCCTCAAGAACCAGCAATACTCTGACTGCTGGATACTTCTCATTCCTTCATTTTGTAAGTACACTTTGGCTAAAATTAAAAAAGGCTACACATCAAAAGTTTGTACCAATATGCCTAATTTCCTCTCTGTCCAATGCTATCATGCATTAGTTGTGGTTTAAAAATATATAAAAATTCAAATAAATTCATTTTTAAAAATTTCTTCTAGAGGCAAGACAGGACAAAGTGAGAAATGTCACAAATAAAACACTTCTATTTGTTATTGTCATAAATATGCAATATGTTGTTATTCAATAGTAGGAATATATTTGTGAAATACAGTGAGGGTCACTCTTGTGTTAAGTTAGGTAGAGAATAAAGATAACTTGAATGACCTCGCTAGGGTCCTCTTCCAGCTGTCTCCACTTTATTAAGGGAAGGGGAAAGGGAAAATGTATAACTGGAGAAGAGAGTCTGGAAATTTTGCAACTTCTCAAAGATTACTGTAATTGAAATTAAACAGTAGATTTATTTTATTTGGCCTGCATGCATTCTTTTTTTCCATTTAGGCTTATCTTCAAAGGATTATTTTAATAATTGTGAAAGTTCAAACTCTCATACCTTAAATAAAACATTGAAATTACTGGTTGGTACACAATGGCTTTATGGAAAACTAATCTAAGTTAATCTAAGAAATTTCTGAGTGCAGAAATTTCTATCATCTTGAACAACACACAAGAGGGTCTAGGAGGGGTAGGGCAGCAAAGGGTGGAACTCGGACACCAACAGTTACAGAAAAATATCTCTTTCTGATTTCCACAAAGGGTGGCAAACATCTGTTTCTTCAGACATGCTCCTGGGGCTTCCCTGTGTGAGGGCTTGAATTCCACTAACCCCCTTTGTCATTACTAAGCCCTAAATACACTACAGAGTTAACTTTTCTTTTCTTTTTTTTCTCTTCTTTTTACTTTTCTTTCTTTTCTTTTCTTGTTTTCTTTCTTTCCTTCCTTTCTTTCTTCTGTTTTTAAATCATATCCTTATCATTTCAAAGGTCAAGGCCATTTCCTATTAGAATGAGGGAATGGTTGGGACAATGATGCCACATTCCACAATATCCCTTTGCACAATATCTCTTTGCATGATATTTCCAAATGATACAAGACTCACAAGAAAACCAAGTTAAAAACACACCTCTTTGTGTCAGATGGGATGTCATCTAGTGTCACCTGTCCTGTCTTCTTGTCCAGAAGTAGACCATAAAACCTAGGTGAAAAGGTTTTCCAGTTATCATACTATTCCCAGAGCCACTGATAAAGATATTGGGAAATATTCTCCAGGAGTTCATTGGCTGTATGATTTATCAGCGAAAGGGTATTTCCTATGACTCTGTTTTTACCACATCACACCAGATGGCTTGCACGCTGAAAACACTCAAGTCAAGAATAGCTAATCTCCTTGCCCCTGAGAGCTCACAGGGCTTTAAATATTTTTTTTAAGTTCCATTAGCCAAAGAAGAGGAAAAAAAACAACATTTTTAAAAATTTTAAGTTCCATTAGCCAATATATAGTACATTAGGTTTTGATGTAATGTTCAGTGTTTAAACATTTTGAATGTTTGCTTACATTTAAAAATAGTGATTTTCTACATGCAAAAGCTAAATTTGTGTCCTTTCCTCAAAGTCTGGCACCCTGGGGCCTGTGAATCCCATGCCCCTACAAAAGATGGAGCTGGGCGATATGTCTCTTTATAGGGGACATTTCCTCATCCATTCAAAGGAAGCCAGCTCATCTTGAACATGTATTTACATGTCTTGACATGGGCATTTGAGTTTGACACAATTAAAGGTCATTACCTTATGCCATTAACCATGTTTGAAGAATTTTTTTATTGAAAAAGAATATACATAAATCATGCACATATCTGTGTATACCTCACTGAATTTTTACAAACTAAACATACCCATGTAATCAGCATCAAGATTAAGAAGCAATGTTATGAGCACCCAGAGACTCATGAGTGCCCCTTCCAGTGACCACTCATCCCCCAAATAACACTGATTTTGACCACACTTCTAGAATGCTTGCTAAGTGTTTGAATATATTTTGTCTCATATGATCCTTACAATACTGGGAGGTAGGTGGGGCTGGGTAGTTACTCAGACAAAGAATACAACTTCATTTATTCAATGCCTTTTTTGTTGCCTTCATCATGGCATTCCATAATTTGGGCAGTATATTCTGTGAATAACCTGGATAAAATCCACCTGAAAATCCTCCAATCCTACTGAAATAACTAAACTTGAGATGTTATATAACAGATAATAAAACCCGACCCACTGAAAGCGCCTGTTATTTCAAGCAGTGGGAGACTCCAGTGCAGTGGAACTCCTTCCCCTCCAGCTTTTATTCATGTTGCTTGTTTTGAGGGCTCCTGGGTGGTGCTCTGATTAGAAGTGAAGAATACAGTTGTTAGAACATTTGCTGCAGCTGTATGCTCTGCTTTCAAAGTTCCTATATTACTGAGATATTGCAATGGCTCTGAAAATACATAAAGCATTATTGTTATGCTTAGCATGAGCCCTGTAATGCTTCCATTTGGGGAATTTATTTTGATGGAAATAGCTCATTAGACCAGAAAATGCCTGTTTTGTTTTCATTTCATTTAAAAAAAAAAAATCTGTGCATGTTTGCATAGCAGGTAGAGTTAAAAACCCAGTGTAGCAAGACTTCAGCTATTTTTTTCTTCCCTTTCAAAAACAATAACAGAAAAGGGACTTTATATATAATATGCCCCAATTTACTTGAAAATAATGAATGCATACAATTTTGCATCCTCAAGTATTAATTATAGAGGAATTTATAGTAATTTATAATGCATTAGAAGATTATTTTTTTAAGAGAACTTGGCCAGAGCCAATGGTAACTTTAGCTCTCATTTATAATAATGGAATAACTGCATTGAAACTTGACTTTTTATTCTAATCATATAATTGAAAAATAACATTTAACATACCCCCAAACATGATGAACTCATTAAAAAGCTTTTTATTTGTTATTTTACAATAGTTAAAATAATTAGCTTGTTTTAAACAAAATTTTAGCCGTTATTTTCCTTAGTTCTTTACAGACTAACAAATACTAGTGGAGTTGTTTCTTCAATTATGTCACCGTATATGTCCAAATAAACTGCAAATATATTAAATTATAGTGCCCTGGTGGTTCTGTTTAAGAAACTTTCTATAACTGCCAACTTGCATGGTATTGTGTCTCTAGAATTCATAGGCATTTTTTTTTCTTTTATGTAAAAGAAAATCAAGATTTTCTAAGGTTGGCATAAGGAGGTTGAATCAGTCATAGAATAAGGGGCAGGTGGATTTTTATGGTCTTCTTTTTGGGGATTTTACTGTGTTTTCCCCTACTGTACTTGTTACTCTAACCCTGATCCCAATTTTATTCTGAGAAGTGGGTTTAGTGCTTTTCTGGTTATTCCATTTTGACCCAGCTATGAATGTGTAGTCTTTACCTTCATAATCTGCAGTGCAGCTTAAGTAAGGCACTCAGTCAGGATTCTAGCTCTTTCAAATGGAAATAAATGAGGGAAGTAGATAAACTACACTATTTGGCTTATGAGGCAGACCTTAATGTCAGCTAGAATTTTACTATCAGGATAGGCTAGCTCTTTTCTGGGTCCCCAGAGGCCTGTTCTTAACAGAAGCCATATCTGACCACTGCCCCTTGGAAACACCTTCAAAAACATCTAGAAGTCTCAAAGTTAATAGGAAGATGGAGAGGCAGAAATAGAGTTGGCTCTTTTTTTCTTTTCACATTCCTTATCCAAAGACAAGAAATCACTCTTCTGTGAGTGATTGGTCCACAGACCTTAGGAGAGACCTCATCTGCCCACAGAAGCAGGCCCTGGCTTAAAGCCTCCACAGGAGAGTCTGCGGTTTAACAATACAATAACATCACCCCTCCCCTTAGGGGTACCATAAAAGGTCCACTTATGCAGAAAAGGGTACTTGCTTTGTGTTTTTTAACCCATGAGAGAAAGCCCTTCATTTCTATCCCACAGTGAGGTACCCAAATTCCCTGCAATCCTCTGGCAGAGAAGGGACAGATTTAGCCTTAATGTGGGGGGGGGGGGGATCCTTCTTGGGTGAGGGGTGGGGCCTCCACGAAAGGCTGATCAGCAAAAATCTTGACAAAATATTTGTATAGCTAAGCAACATAGTTATCTCTGGTCAATTCCAGATCATGGTGGTTGATACTTCCTACCACCTTTCTCCTCTGAGGCCTTACCATCTGTTGAGTGTGCTTCCTCCAATCTCTGCCCCATGGTAGATAGGCGTTTGATGTAGACCAGGTTTCTACCAGCTCTGTGTGTGTCTTGGGCGGGGCGGGGGGGAGGGTGAATTCTGTGCCCTTAGATAAAGGTAATATGCATGAATCAATTAGGTCTCTTTTTATTGCAATTTACAGACATCTAATTTGACCAGATTAAGAGAGGAAATTCATTGGTTTATGTAGCTGGGAAGACTACTGGGGTAGTTAGCTCTTTCAAAGAATATTTAATAAGGTCTGGAACCAGAGATCTATGCTATTTGCTCTAACCTTATTTCTGTTAGTCTCTCAATTCTACTGCTCTCTGATTGGTTGCATTCTATATATAGCCTCTTTCAGCTCTGCTGGAGAAAAAGTATTTCCCTCAGCGTCCTTTCACATATTCTAAGACAGGACTGTTGGTTTTGCTTCTGTCACGGGCTCCTGTCTTGTAGCAATCGCTTTTGGAGTTCAGCCCAAAGACACAGAGTAGGGTCTGGGACCAGAAGCAGAGGGGTGGGTTGAGAAATTTTGCTGGCTAACAAAAAGAAGCAAACAAATAAAAACAGTATCTCCAGCAGTTCTCTCTGCAGAGTGTGCATGCATCCTGTTCCATCTCTCTCCGTCAGTGAGGGCTGAAGCCTGTTTCTTCCTGAGTTTACCCAAGTGCAAACACAATTACCATGAATATATTCTCCGATGAAGAATGTATATTCCTGCTAATCACATGGAGCCATTGCTCTGGCACCATTCCTTTTGAAATGATATCTCTGGGGCGCCTGGGTGGCTCAGTTGGTTAAGCGACTGCCTTCGGCTCAGGTCGTGATCCTGGAGTCCCGGGATCGAGTCCCGCATCGGGCTCCCTGCTCGGCAGGGAGTCTGCTTCTCCCTCTGACCCTCCCCACTCTCATGTGCTTGCTCTCTCTCATTCTCTCTGTCTCAAATAAATAAATAAAATCTTTAAAAAAAAGATATCTCTGGTATCGTTTACTGAAAGTACATTTGCCTTATTGTTGGACTTAGCCATTTTGAAGGGCCTCCCTTTAGCTAAAGATGCTTCTGTCTGTGCAACAGTGAGTGGATGCGTCTTTTATCAGTATTTTCTTTCAGAACCTCAAGTTTCTCTCCTGATGATGGTGGTATATGTATATTTCAGTTTTCCTTATTACAGTTCCAAATGGACAACTGAAAGTGTGCCCTTTTTTGAGGAAATAAAGAGAAAATTTGGTTTCAAGATGTGTCTTTCAGAAAAATTCACAAAGAATGACATGGAGTGTCTTTTCAGAAAGCAAAACAAAAATTCACTAGAATGCCAACTAAATATTTCTTAACCTGAATATTAATTTCCCCCTCAATCCTCCCTTAGTACTTCAACCTCAGAAATTAATTGCTTAAAATAGTTTGGCAACATAACAGAAGCAAAGCACAAGCATGAAAATGGACAATAGACTGGCTATTTAGATTGGGGAGAAATGAAAGGATAGTTTATTTTGACCTCTTAGTAATTGCTAAAAATAGTAATGACTCATTTGATGGTGGACATTAGTATTGAATAAGAAAGTGGCCCAAATGCAGAGAGTAACCATGCTATGATCCAGCTCACCCATGCGGCACAGTTTATGGTACTTTGTCAGTTAATCTGGGGAAAAGGGATCTACAGGTGGGATACTTTCCCAGGAAGGTCAAGTATTCAGGCACAAGGGAGAGAACTTTCCTCCCAAAACTTGTTGCTGATAACCAAAGGAAACAGATATACTTCTTGCTTCTTTTGTGACAGAGAGCTATCACTAGGGGCATGTATTATTTTTATTAAATCTCATTCTTCTTGAGGCCATTGATTATTCCTTTTGTGAGAAGAAACATCCACTAATTTCAAACATTACCTTAGAAAGGAAACAGACAACTTACATAAAATAAATCATAGAAAGCCGATGAACTGAGAACTCCTTTGCTGAAAGCCAATTTGCCAAATGACCAATTTGCCTAAAGCGAATTTGCTAAAAATCAATTTACTGGATGACCTAGTCTCCAAATTATTGAGGATAGAACCAAATTTTGGTTCCACCACTGCTCCTACTTCTGCCACTGCTCTTTGTTGTCATGTTTGCCCCAGTTGGGTCTTTGCCTTTGGTAGCAAAACAGCTACCCAAACTATGCAAATACCTGTTTCAAGGTATTTATCAGACAGTCATTAGAGGCTATGTCATCTGTTTTAGAGAAAAGGAAACTGAGGTTTACAAAAGTTAATTAACTTGCTTATTTCAGTCAGTTAAGTTTCCATACGCATTACGTACACAGATTTCTCTGGGTCCGAGGCATTATCCACTCGCTTTTAACCATCATTAACCGTTATATTGTTATTCACTCATTTTTAGAGTATTTCATCCTGCGACCATACCTAGGAAGAACCAGGGCAAAACAAGTTCATAATGACCAGGATCTTTTAGGAAAAGAAAGGAAATACCAGCATATTAACCAATGCTCTGTGAGGGAGTGGCATATTTGGATTGATTAAATATTCTGTTTAAAATAATTATCTGTACTCCATCTTGGAGATAAATATAACACAGAAATACACAACTCTACATCTATATGGAAAGAATGGAACTTTATTGTTTATTTTAGGTTGATTTAAAAAATATCGCTGAGCTTGGAGTCACTGTTCTGATCAAGAGGAAGCCAGATTCAGAGTTCATACGTGGAACAAAGATCCAACAAATATTTAAAATCCTGAGAGTACAAGGTTATAAATTCATTTGATAAATGGTATCAGCTGTCAAAAAATGTTACCAGTCAGTAACAACTTACTCGTTGTTACTTATTAGGGTTATCAGGAACTTTTGAGAACAGTCCTGGCAACTGGGATGGGGAGGGTAATCTTACTTTGGAATAGTAGCTCACTGATGGAGTCACATCTTCCAACAGGTAAAGGATGCTGTCCCTGCCCACAGAGTAAGAGCCTAAGGTACAATTCAATAACCTGTGGTCAACAGTGAAACTGAAGCTGAGACGTTACAGAGGTGATGTACTGAGGCATTCATGAGCCCGGGCAAATTCATGTCATTTTTTCCCGGGAACTATGGTACAGAAGAAACAATCCATTCATATCACCAGATATAATGCCTGCTCTTTTGCAAGGGAGGATATTTTTCTGACTAAGTGGTTATTGGCTCTTTAGAAAAAAGAGGATTTTTAAAACCTCTCCTGGAATTTAGGTGGGAAACAGGATCACTGTGCCAAATACGGCACACTGGGGTACCTATGAATGAATTAGAAAATGGACTCCATCAAGGCTAGGGATATATTCAGATTGGCTGGGGGAACCTGGGCTGGATCTAGCTCCCCTGTCGCCTCGGCTGAGAGTCTTTGTGTGGGGCACAACCTGTGTAACCATGTTTTCCTTCCTCATTAAAAACTGTGACCAACAAAAAAAAACATACTATTTACAATCTAGTTTCCAAAAGTCTGTTCCTCGTGTCAAATTCCATATTCTCATCAAATATTTTATAATTAAGTACTAATTACTTTCTAATTGCCTATTTGTTTTGTTTCTTATTGATTTTAAAGTAAGTGTATTTTAAAGTAAGTTTTTTGGTATAAAATGGTCCATACTCATTATATCTATATATGTATCTCTTTATATAAAGTAACAAAAATGGACAAAGAAAAAATGAAAGTCTTTCCCCACTCCCAGTCTCATCTTCTGGAAATATCCACTATAGGACTAGGCCTGAGAGGGAGGGTAAATAACTTGCCCAAGCTCTACCCACCAGTAAGCAAGGGTTTGACTCAGGCCCTTTGACTCAGGGTTACTCTCTAAAACTCTACATTCCATTGCCTCTGAACAATTTCAATGTCTTCATTTTTTTTTTCCTTTGGATTTTTCTCAGTTATTGCCATAGAAAAACTTCATTTCTCTTACTTTCACCCTCTCTTCCTTTTGCTAGTTGGGAATCCCATATGGTTCTGGTCAAGTCAAGCAAGTACAAGAATAGAGCTAATGAAATATATTCATTAAATAAAATCTAAGTTTTATCTTTTGTAGTGAGATTGACAGTAACAGGAAGCGACAGCCTCAACCTTAAAATATCTTGAATCCTCTTCAGAATCTATAATGACATCTTCTACTTTCTCTTTCTCTTATAATTAAAATTTTAATTTAATTTACCTTAAGCACTAATGTTCAAGGGAAATTTCTTATTAAATTTTATTGTACCTCTTATTTTCCAAATTTATAGCAACTTCTACCTCACTTTGTATGAATGAACTTGAATACTGCTTCAGACTTCTTTCTTAAACTCAAGTACCTCTTTGGAACACATAAAGTACATAAAGTATGGAATAGAATCATAAAAGTGGCTCTATTTCTATGTAGTTGATTGATTTATAGAAGGAGCTTCATTACATTGTAGTCAACATAATATGCACTACTGGATTATATTACACTTATTTAAATGTTTTCTAGTATGTGATCTCTCATCCTTTTAAGTAATTTTTCTTATTGCATTTTGAAATTCTCAAGAGCAGAACCTCTTTCTACTGCATGGCATGTCTGTTTACAATATAGACTTCACACAGGTTTAATAAATTTTATTAAATTTTGTTATATAATTAGCCATCAGATGTGAAAAGCCTTTCTACAGAGCTATTTTTTATAACATGATAAGCTCTTACATTACAGACTTTATTTATGATGGGTATGTAGTAAGTTTTACTAATTTTATCCAAAAGTTTTAGGATGATACATTTTGGAAGGAAGCTGGGGTAAAAGCTTCAGTCCAACTCCAAGCATCTGGTCCCTGATTCAGATCACCTCTGGCCTTGTTTTCTTGCAGCATTGATTGAGAAGGGTGAGACCCCAGGAATCCTGGTCTGCAGAGTTGTGGCTCCTCCTTTGAGAGAGAATGCACTCTATGAACGGAGAGTTTATTTTTTCACATGTAGCTAAAAAGTAGGGAATGTTATTCACTATAATGATTACTATGCTGTTTTAAGATTAAATGTGGACCTAGCTCTAATTATAACTTACAACATTTAAGTTCTGAATTTTTAAAAGCCACGTGTTTGTCCCTACTGATTTTTCTTTTTCTCTTTTATACAGTTTTATGTATTCCTGCATTTTTAACTTGCAAAAGCAGCATGATACTTAAGATTTTGTATTGTTTCTTTTTTCCTTTTCTTAAGACTGTGTTTTTAAGATCTACCCATGTTTGCTATTTGCATTTCCAGATCATTGCTTCTAAGCAAGGCATAACGTTTTATAGTATGCATGCACCATGCTTTACCAATCTATTCTGTTAGTGATCTTATTTGATTCGAACTCTGCCACCACCACTAATGTGACACGTTCTTCTAAATGTCCCCTTAAGCAACTGTGTGAGCGATTCTCCAGGGATATGCCCTGGAGAGGGATTGCCAGATCATCGGTTACACCATTCCAGTTTTCACTAAGTACTGCCAGACAGTGCTTCAGAATGACTACTAGTTTTATTTCCACATTTTTGGCTAACTCCTGGTATTGCTCAATTTCTAGATTTTTACAAATCTACTAAATGTGAAGTAGTACTTTAATTTGCATTTTTTCCTAGTAATTAGTCAGACTGAGCATCTTTACAAATCCTTGTTAGTTATTTATGTTCTCATTGAATTTCTCTTCCTGTATTTTGTTCAATTTTTTTTCCTATCAGGTTTCTTATCTTTTTCTTTTTTTGTGTAAGTTTCTTTTAGAATGTAGATACTAATCCCGCGTTAGTTTTTGTTTTTGAAGGGTCTTCAGCTTTCCTGGTTCTGTCAGTCCTTAGTCTATGGCAACTGATAAACAGAAACCCCAAATTTGGTTTAGTCTTCATCTTGTTGACCTTTTTGAATCTTGATTAAGAAGTGCTTTTTCATTCCAAAGTCACAAAGATTTTCACCTGCAATTTCTTTTACTGGCCTTACATTTTCTCCACTAATTTTCACACAACAACATAATTTTGTTGAACTTCAGTGGATGCTACGGCCTTTCCTCAAGTGAGAGATCTAAACCCCTCCACGATGTAGTAAACCAAATTCAGCATTTGGCCAAAAAGCATACTCTGGAGTAAACCTTTTTTCTTACGTATTTAACTTGAATTTAGATTTAAAAAACTGAAATGTGAGAAAGATTTTTAAAGATGTCTGTGCTTTCTTCAAACAGGAAGGAAGCAAATTTTGAGAAATGTTCACAGTTGTTGGTCTGATTCAGTGACAGTAGGCAGGATGGAGAAGATGCATTCAGACTGACAGCCTCAGAGCAAAGTTGTAAGGTAAGTATATTTGTTTGGATCACAGCAGTCCCATTAAGGTGCAGGAGTTTAAGCACATGCCCTGTTTGTATGAAAAGCATTATTGTTTTCAAACATTTTCCATTCCTCCCTAGCCGCCTTTCATTTTGTGCCTTTCGAATGATGAAACAACTCACATTTCAGAGCTGTTGCAGTGTTAAAGTTGTGGCTTCATAGAAACCCCAAGCATTTTCTTTTTTTTTTTTTTTTTTGCTCTACATTTTGATTTTTTTGTGTGTTTGTTGTCTCTTTTGGTTCTTAAGTTAACCTAATTTATAAATTGAGCCCTATCCATTTCCATTTATTTTTTTATTGCCTGAAATTTGTGTCAAAAAACTCAGAGGATACGGCCCCAGAGGAAACAACCTATTTCCCAATTTTAGATGCTAATTCGCTACTAAATTTCTTGGGTTCTCATATATTTATTTATTTTCGATCCTACATCTCACCTTGGATGTACAGTCTCGACACGGCATTTATTGGGAGGGTTAGCCTATCCCCAGAAGAGAGGTACACAGGATGCATGGAAAACTTTCACAGCTCCCGTGATCTCTGTCTTTTGGGGAGTTTCTTTCATGTCATTGCCATTCCTGGAATAGCCAGAGACCAGGGAGCAGAGCCCGGGGAGAAGAATAGGAGGCTGATACGGTGACCTCCCAAGCCAGCTGTGCAATCTGCCTCCTTATCTTCCAGAGAACGAGGCCCTGCAGCAGCTGTTCAGTGGAGAGTGCTCAGGACCGCGCTGGGGGCCTCTTTACTTGTCTGTTCTTTGATCCTCCCCACTTTTTGTAAGCCCAGATGTGTGCTCAGATGTGAGACAGCTGTTCAAAGGACATCTCAGGATAAAAATCAACTTCTATTCAGTCATTATTATCAATTCTTCAGATATCATTAGTCTAGTAAATATATATGTCATGACTCGAGCAAATCTTCGCTACTAAGTGGGGTATTTTCTCAATGAGGTTACGGTTACCAAAACTTAAAAAAAAATAATATCCTGTAACGATTCTTATGCTTAAATATATATTTTTAATAATCCCCCTCCTGCCAGGGCTGGTCCTATACCTACCTTGTATAATTTAAGGGGTGTAGAAAAGCTACTCTGTTCATAAATGTTTCACCAGCTTGTTATGAAACCTATAGTTTCCCCCGGAAAGGCCTCGTTTAGGTCAGGCATCCCCAACTAAGCTCACATGCAAGGGTTGTCTTACAACATGGTCATCTTATTGCCGCCCTGAAATGGGAAAGCATCTTGCTGGGGACGGAAGATGCAAATGGGCATGGGTCAAATAAGGTTCCTGCCCTGGGGGCCCTTACAGTCTGGAGAGGCAGGGTACACATACTGATGACAAAATAACAAGACGAAGGAGCATCTGTGTAGATCCTTACATCCACTTGTGTAAATCATCACTTCTGTAGAAATCATCACATTCTGGGAGTTCAGAAAGATCTCCAAGGCCTGGTCCTCAGAGAAAGGGTTTTCGGATGACTAGGTGCTGAAGGCTGACACAGATGAAAGGTAGGGCTTGGGTAAAAGAGAGAAGATAAGGAATATTCTAGACCAGGAACAAAAGTTAATAACGTGGAAACAGGCCAGGCCAGGGTGACTGGAATGGGTGAGTTCATATAAGAGGTTCCCAACAGCGAGTATGCTGTTGAAGACAAAAGCTTGCATAACAAGGTCAAAAAAGTGGACATTTCTTGTTTTCTATTTTAGATCTAACCTATGAAAAGCCTGATTTTTAAAATGCACATAAAGCAAAGAGAGTCATTGTGTTTATTATTTAAGCCACAGAAAGACTTAACAAAGCTGTGTATAAATGACACCCAGGGCCTCTCCTAAGCAAAACTGTGAACACATCAAATCTGCCCTTGATTCCCTGACATCCTCTTTTCCTAGGAACGTGATTTATTTCTTTGCTTGCTGTCCCTTCTACTGGAGATGATCTGTCTAAATGCCTTTGGGATCAGCCCATTTTCTGCCCGTCCATGGGGTTTTTATCAGAAAAATTGGGAGAGAAAGAAACCCACTATGCTTTGTCTCCTACTGTCCCTAGATTCTCCTAAAATGAAACCCTCTTCTCTGGCTCTGCAATCTTAATCCCAGACCGCTCTGTGCCCCTCCTCGCCTGACTTCTCTTCCACTGCAGCATCCTTCTGAACTTTTCAGGGTGCCGCCCGAATCCTCAGTTACTCCTGGTACCCTCAAACCCTTCCTGTAATGTTTTCTTCCTTCCTGATCTTACTAGAGACCTAGAGGCCTCTTACAGGTACAGTTTCCAAGGCTGCTCATTACACTGAGGTTTCTCATTCCCTCATACACCACATACATACCTTAGGGTGGGGTAACGCCCTCCTCCCTTCCCAGTTCCCCCTTCAGATCTTTTTTTTTAATCCAAATAAAAACACTTAGTCCTTTGAAGCCCTTTATTTCCTTCTACCAACCTAAAATCTACCAGCCAGTCCGGTGTTCCATCCTGATTTACTACTTTCCCTTCTATTCCAGCTCTTTTCGTCATCCTCACTGACTGCTCACATTGATGTTTAACCCAACATTTTAGTTCGTTTTCTTGATGTCTTCCTTCCAGTGGCCTTTATGTCCAGTTTATCTCAGGTACCCAAACCTATGACCACATTCTGGACATTGCAATCATTTGCAACGGTTCCTTCTCTGGAAGAACACATTGAAACACTCTCCCTATGACTGCAACCTAACTGTCCTTCTAACTCTTTATCCAATTACTAATGCTCTTCTCAACCTTTACCTGCTTAGGGATATCCAGTCTTTTCACTGTTCTACTAATTTTCCAGGTATCACCCCACATGTCCCTTTATTCTCTTTTTACTCTCTTCTCTATGCTGACTGGATGCCATAGTCCTTTCTTTTTTTTAACTACACTGTCATCTAAATCTCTAGAATCTTTAACCCATTGTCCTTTTGTCTCATCCACCTGATAAAATTCCAAACCTGGGTCAATGCAGCCATGTGCTTTCTTCATAATGGCACATTAATTGGTGAACTGTTGGAAACACACACACACACACACACACACACACGCACGCGTAACTTCATGGGCTGTTGCCACCCAAATTCATGGTTTCTACCTTCACTTGGTCATCCATCCTGCCACATCTCTTCTGGTGCCCCGATTAGCTCCCCTCTATTTCCTATGATGCTCCTTCAAATCTTCTCCATTAGCCTCTGACTTCTATCGCCCCCACCCGCACCTCCACGGTCTCATTTTCGGCAAATGAGTTTGCCTCTAGCCTCAAAGGAAAAAAGAAAGAAAAAAATAAAAGGAACCCTCTTTTTCTTTCCCAAACCAACAAACTTAGCTGCCTGAGCAACTATTATTTCCTCTTTATCTCCTGTTGAATCAGAGAAGACACCCCTTCTATTTGAGGATTATCTTACTCATGGTGCTTTGAGTCCCATCCTTTTATATGCTGCTGTTATTCAGATTACTAATCTCTCCTGTATCCCAATCTCCAACCTGCTCACCTAGTTCATCGCTTCTTCTCTATGCCTCCTCAATCCCACATCCTCTCTAACTGTGGCTCTGTCACTCTGCTTTGCCTCACCAGCAGAAATCTCCAGAGAGTTGCCTCACCTTGATCTATGCCATATTCACATCCGCATCCACATCCTTGTATCATCTCCCTTTCGCTCTCCTGCCACCTGGTGAATCTGCTCTTTTACAAATATGCAGTTGTTCATTCCAAAGGACATTTGTAAGCCCTCCCCTTCCTTGTCTTCTCTGCAGCACTGACGATTCTGCCTTCTCCCTCTTTTCTGACAAAGTGCCCTCTTGCACTGCAATTTGCTTCATAACAGATGTGGGAACGCATCTGCTTGCCAACAAAATCCTCACCCTTACATCCACAATCAAGCTTCCTTTCCCCCTCCTGTTGCAAGAGAAGAGGTGACCTCTTCTTCCTGAGGCTAAACCTGTCACCCACCGGTCTGAATCCACTCGGCCAGAAACCCAGACCTCTTGACTCCTCCTCTCTTACCCTTCTTGATATAATCAGGCATCATGTCCTACCAATTCTGCCCCATTTCCTGTCTCTTGACTCTCTCCAGTATCCTCATCCCCACTCTAAGCATTTTGGATCAGTGTACCATTATCAGGTCCATACTGTTATTTCAACAGCCTCCAGAGAGGCCAACTTACTGCTAAGCTAATGCTGCTTCAGTATTAAGGTTCTATACTTCCACAGGCTTTGCAAACACCCTGGTCTTAGAATGTTGCATTCTTTGTCTTAAATAGAACTTCCAAATTGCCTTAGCTTTAACACCTACCATCCTTGGGCCTGCCCCCAGGCCCACATACTGTGTTGTCTCCAGTATTGTGCCCAGCTAACCCATGCTCCATACAGCCGACAGTGTGACTATCTGCAAGTGAAAATGATACTACTGTGCCACTTCCTTGCTTAAAAATCTTCCAATGGTTTCCTATTGCTTTTAGCTTTTAGGGGAAAATTCCCAAATACAGCTTTTGGGTCCACTCTGACCTTACCTCTGCTTTTCTCTCTGGAACCCCCTTTCATTACACATTTTACACGTTTTCAGGACATTCTCTTATCTGCAGGGTGGTAAGCAGGGCAGCTTCTATCTTTCTTTGAAGATGAGAAAAATAAAGCTCAGAGAGGATACATAATCTTCCCAGGTCTATGGAACAAATGACTTATGTGGCCGAGATTTGGGCCGAGTTCTTCAGATTCCATTTGCAACTTATTTTTCCATTATAACATGTGGTTTCTATGTACAAATGTGCTCATTCTGCGACTATGCTGAAAACAGAAAAGTCTTTGTAAATCCTGGGTCACTTATTAGTTGGTAAGGTTTTCACAATTTGATTTGGATGTCAACGAAATCAACTGGGTTTTGTTTTGTTTTTTAATTTTTAAGTAAACTCTACACCCAATGTGGGGCTCGAACCCATGACCCCGAGATCAAGAATCACATGCTATACCAACTGAGCCAGCCAGGTGCCTCTCAACTGTTGTTTTTTGTTTTGTTTTGTTTTAATTAATCTTCTAATTATTATATTTTTGTTCCTACAGTCATCTAAATTTTCCTATTAACTCTTTACAGGCTGACATGTGTTAGGGCGTGGGTTCCCAAACAGATCCATTTATAAAGGGGATGGTTTAAGCTGGGATGCTCCCAGTTCTGTGTGAGGTCATCCTGATTTCAGAATAGTGTACCGACTGAGATGGTCTGGAACTTGCCTGAACTTTTGCCAGGTTTCTTCCTGACCTCTCTTTTCTTAGAGAATTTCCTTAAAAAAACTTGCAATTGTAAATTCTTTCTCTGCCCTCTGAGATGTAAATCTCCCAGAAATATAATAATGCAATATCTTGAAAAGTCTTCCTTGTCATTTTTATCAAGTGTCCAGTATAATTTCTTTTTTGTAGTGTCCACCATTGAGAACTATTTATAAATATATGGAAAAATATATTTGTAGGCACAACACTGATACTGATCTTGGTCCTTTCATTGCATTTCACGTGCCAAAAAGATTTTATCCTATGTATTTGCTACTTGTACACAGAAAAATAATTGATGTATATTTCTCAAAGATCACATCACTATTTCAGGGGCGCCTGGGTGGCTCAGTCATTAAGCGTCTGCCTTCGGCTCAGGTCGTGATCCCAGGGTCCTGGGATCGAGCCCCACATCAGGCTCCCTGCTCGGCGGGAAGCCTGCTTCTCCCTCTCCCACTCCCCCTGCTTGTGTTCCCTCTCTAGCTGTGTCTCTCTCTGTCAAATAAATAAATAAAATCTTAAAAAAAAAAAAGATCACATCACTATTTCAGAGTGCATTGATTTTTTTTTTTTTTAGATTCCCCCTTTAAATGGATTCTGACAGAGGGTGTCACTTTGGTTACCTTTTTCTTCTTCTAGGTAGTATGTTTTCTTGGCAATGTTTTTCTTAATATAAGAGCAGACAGCATTGTTTTCCTTGCTGATAGTGCCTTGAGTTATTTTATGACATAGTTTCATTTGTCTCCATAAAAGTAGGAGAATATTGAGAAGGCTGGAATATAAGGAGAGGCCGTTCAGCCCACCAGGCTCTTTTCCCTTTAATGCACCCTGGAGAACATTTAATTGCTTCTTGAATGACCCCCAAGGTCTTCCTAGAATGAGCTTGTTGTCTTCTTTGTGGAGGAGACCATCCCCATTTCACTGGAACTCATTGTGACTTAATTATAGGATACATATAATAAATTGGAGGCAATCAGTAATCCTTAATCAAACAGGGTAAATTTGTTTCACATGCAAGACACAATGGGCCCTTGTGAAATAGATGGCACACTTTCATTTACTGAACGATACCCAGATTAATTAACTCACCTGATAGCTGTGGTTCCAATTTCCCAACTGCAACTCAAGTCTATCTTATGCTTGCCCTTCTTTCTTCTCTTTCTTGTTATCATTCCATGAAACTGCTCCTTAACAGACTTGCAGATTCAAAGATGATCATTTTGGTCCACATATGTTATCTTGTCATTATACAAAATAAAGCATATATTTATGAATAGCACATAGTATATATGTATATATAGGACGTATACATACATATATCTACATGCATACATGCATGTGTGTGTGCACAGACACGCATACTCACCCGCACTCGGTGTGGGAAACACTAACATTTCTTTTGATGTGGCATTTCTTTAATTACAACTCCATTACAAATCTTAGTTCAATGGGTCTATATCCAGAATTTTACAGTAATTTCCTCAAGCCTCCAGCAGTGCCTAATCACTTTCTAGAGCAGAGATTTTAGCTGTTTGGTGTCTGCTGGCTGTTTTCCCTGAAAATTACTGTAAGAGATTTAATTGATTTATATTTCATTTATCTTACAAAAAGTTGAGGTTTTTATTAAATTTAAGTGCCTGTTTAGTGCCTCTCATTGTGTATCCTGATTACTTTTGGTGACTCAGTGTAACATTTAATAACTATTAGTTTTCTTTTGGAGAGTTCTTAACCAGGAAACAAGAGTTCTTACAGCTACATAGATAATTAACTTGAAGCTTGTCGGTCTCCTGAGAGACATCAAATATGTAAATGAGGAACTTAAGCCTTAACAAGACATGGTAAGGAAATCACTAAAACTTTTATCACATGAAAGCTAAAATCCGCAGTTAAAAAATATACCAATATGCTTTGAAGAACTAATATATGCTTCTTTGCTTAGGATTTGTGAAATTTATGGGCTTTAAATTCTTTTTCAAAGCTGCAGGAGCTAGTCAGATCTGTTAAGAAAAAAACCAAAGAAGATAATAAGAAAACAAGGACAGGAACCACATTTAAATGTTCCACAATGCTACCATATGATTGGAGCTCAACAAATATTTAATAAACATACACCAAGGTTTTCTCTTTTATTTTACAAAATCCTCATTTGCAGTACCTAACATTGTTCCCATCTTTTAATCATAATGCCTTTCAGAGCCAACCAATACATGATATCTTTGGACTGTTGTTTGTTTTTTTTTTAACTAATTAATTAATTTTTTTATGTAGTGTTCCATGATTCATTAAAGACTTAAAACAGAAGGAAGAGCCATTCGTGTTTGATTTTTTTAAACTGATTAACCAGTTCTCTTCATTTTTCTGTACATGCCTCTATTGTATAATGTATCTAAAGAAAAATATGGAGGAAAAGACCCTTTAAATTTCTGAGCTTGTTTTAATATGAAAACATTTTATCATTATAAAAACTTCTAGTTACCTGGATAACATGTTTTTTTGTTGTAATTGATGGATTATGTTTTCTTGAGACATGTGGAACTAGCGAATGGAATGGGTGAAACTGAGAAAGCATTTGTAAATTCACCAGAGAATGGTTTTCTTGAAAAGTCGATAGGTTTTTTGATTTTTTTGAAAAGGCAAATCATTTGAAGCTTTTAAAGACCATTTACCTGGCTCTCAGCGGGTTATGTACTTTTAGTGGAGTGTACTTCTAATTCTTTCCTCCAGTCTTCAGTTGGGTGTGCAGATTATATATATGCGAGTCTATCGCTAGAGTTAGGGATAACACGGCGGCCCAGACCTGCCCCGGATTTGGACGTGGTTGAACGCCCCTGTGGCTGGTGCGGCGGCGTGTGTCCCGTGGGGACAGGCATCCACTTGGGGCTCGCAGAGAGCCACGGCCGCAGTGCCTTTTCCCTCTGCAAGTCCGGGCCACAGCGCAGGCCTAACCTGGGCTAGAACCAGGGTTAGGATGGAATGTGCATCATTTCCTCAAGGAAATTGTCTGACTCTTACGTAAACACATTAAATAGCACTTGGTCAGGAATAAAGGGCATTTGTGTGCTTGACCAAGGCTCCTCCGCCGGAACTCAGGGAGTGCCTCCCGTATCAACTCTGGCGAATCTGACTGAAGGCAAAATGACTAAGAAGAGGCAGCATGGAGGAAAGGGCCACAGCCATATTTTCTTCAGGATAATAATGCTGGTTTCACTTCCTTTCTGCCCATCACGCTACTTTGTCATGATGTGAGCACGTGTTTCCCTACGTCCTAATGTTTCTGAGTTTCCCAAGTGATAAGGTATTACTGGGATTCTAGTCATAACATCAATACAAGTTTTAATGACAATTCTTTCTTTCTTTCTTTCTTCTCTCAGCTTGTTTCAAGGGTCTCCTAAGCCTGATGTCCCGAAGAGCTCCGAGTGGCCCCGGGCCATGGGTTGGTTATCACTGCGGTGCACGCTCGCGCTCAAACCCTGCGGGTGGTGGAAGAGGTTTCTCGGCTCATGAGAAGTTTACAGCCTCACCGGGGAGATAAAGTTCAAATTATGAATATTCACTACCTTGTGTGCCATGGATTTGGTTCCCTCTTGACTTCCAACCTCTCCTCAACATCTTTTAGGTCTCTTAAATTTATAATAAAGGTATCTTTCATTGGTATTGTACTTTTCTACTCATAAAGCTCTGTCATGTTCACAATCCCATGATCCTTGCAGCGCCGCTAGCTCACTGCCTACTTACTCGTTTCTAAACCCATTAAACACATCTAGAATTCAGATGAACCACGTCATCCTAAAAACAACAACACAAACACAATGCATCTGTAGAAAAGAGAGGACTGGCTCTGTTGTAGGACAGCAGTTGTTTGAGAATTGTATTTGGACTACAGAAGCTAATCTAAAAAATCTTTGATCATCCACTCATAAGTTCATTTGTAGATATCTGGGCCAGTTATCCTTTAATTCTTACTTTTTTGGCTTGCCCTCTTCAGAGCCATCCTAGAAAATGCATGATAGGGTGGCTCGCTCCATGGGAGGGGAAAAATCAAATAACGACTTGCCTGGCTTCCTGTTTAATTCACTACCTAAAATGTTCCTTTTAATCGTATTAATGATTTTAAATTTTGTTACAAATAATTCCAATTAAAACTAAACAAGGGATCCTTTTCGGGATAGAAAAAGGGAGTTTATGGCTCAACATACGGCCTTTTAAAAAGGTAATTTAATTTTGTTTCCCTTCAAAGTGAAGGGAAGATTTCAAAGCTTTAAATTATTAGAATACTTGGCTTTTGGGAATATAGTAAGAGGATTATTTTTGGTTAAATTACTGGGACCACCCTTAATAATTCATAAGAGCTACATCATTCATGACTTAAGATTGCCTTAATTAGAGAGGATTTTTATCTCATCTTCCTTTTTACTATTAGCACTTAACTACCGTTTCAGTTTTCTCTTTGACACTCTTGGCATCTAGAGCCATCTTTTCATGGGCCAGATACATAATTATTATTTATATTTGGATTTATGATGTTTAGAAAATATATAAAACCTAAAGGAAGAAGGTAACTTTCCTTGAAATTCATAGAAATGCATCAATTCTAATATTTTTGGGGTTTCGGCGATTTTAGTGTTACTTGTCTATCTAAAGAACAATGTGCTTTCTGACTATTTGGTTAAAGAAGCACATTAGAGAGAAACGTGGATTTGGGAAGAAATAAAATTTAGAATATTTCCAGGGATGTTTTAATTTGTTGACTCTCTACTGGATTGTTTATAATTGTCAGACATAAGAATAATTACGGAATAAGTACTGACTCCATCCATAAGAAAATTTACAGCTGTCATTGGCTATGCTCAGTCTCTTTCCATGTATTTCTTGTTTTCTTTTTTATTTTTTTTAAGATTTTATTTTTAAGTAATCTGTATACCAACGTAGAACTCAAACTCACAACCCTGAGATCAAGAGTCATCTGCTCTACAGGCTGAGCCCTCCAAGTGCCCCATCTTTCCTGGTATTTCTTGCTGAGGGTAATCATTTGCAAAGGTATCTGTATTTTGATAAATGGACAAATGAAATATATTTTCGAATTACTTTCAGTATGATCAAGTCCGATTGCAAAAAAGGTGAATGCAACCATTCATGGGGTTGTAAATTATTTTAAGACTGAGAAAAGCAAAGTGCTACAGATTTCAAATTTGAAATCAATTACAGAACATTTAAAATGCAACCAAACTTATTTTGGCAAATGTTATTCACTGATATAGTAACCAAATTAACACCTTTGTTAGCAGAGAACACCTTTGTTTCAGTATTCTAAAAATGGAATAAGGCAAACTGGAACTTAGTAAGAAAGTAACCCATAGTTTTTATGCTATGAACTCATGGTTTTTATGCTATAAAAGCCAAGATAACACCATGCAATAGATGCAATCCTGTTTCTTCAGGTTGGGTTCTCATGGATGTTTTCTATATACACTCAACATTGTGCATTAGTCCAGTAGTATTTTTTTAATGCACTATGATCGTAACCGGAGGTTTGTTCAATAAGTTTGGGTTTTAGAGCTTGTTTTGTGTGCAAACATACTATCTTTGATTTAATTTTTTCTGACACCATGCCCACTGCACAGTAGAGAAAAAAAGTGTAATTGTAGTTTTGTCCTTTATAGTACAGGACAAATAAATGTCAAAATCAAATGGTGGTATCCCCCAAGGGAAAACACACTTCGGTGATGAAATATTCTTCCTCACTTCCCATTGCTATTCCTCTGAACACCCAGGTGAAGCTGCCTCAGGACCTAATCAAATGCTACTAATTTGCATATAATAAAAACCTTGTCATGAGATTTTAGACTGTTACAAGGGAAAGTGCATCACATCTCTAAAATGGTAAATTATGAAGATATGCATACATCTGTTCTGAACCTACAGTTTATAAACACTCAGAATAGTTTGACCAGACCAAATCAGATAGGAGCCCCTGCTTATGTTGATGTAACTGTCAGTTAAATTCTGTGCCTAATAAAGATCCTTGGAAGTGGCATACTGCTATTTCCTATGTTCCTTGAAAATGCTGAGATATTGATAAAATGTCAGACTCCTTCTTGGGAATGACGATAACAATCAACTTTGCAAAGCAATCATTAAGGTAGCTTTTAAAAGAGTTATACGAACAAACGGTTTTCCTGGGAATTATTTGTATTTAGAATAGTACTTCTGTTTTTCAAAAATAACAGTTCACATAATAAATGTGAGGTTTTCTTGCAAGAATCATCCCCACCCCAAATTATTTGAAAGAATGTATTTTTAAATCATACGAATTATTTTAAATTATTATTATTATTATAAATTCTTTGAACTTTAGGCTTGTGGTTGTTTTGATAATTTCTGCAAATTTACCAGGTGGTTTAAAAAGGAAAACAAACTCATTTTGCAATATTCTTTTTGGATCTATAGGGTGAGCCTGAACCTTTTTTTATTACAGTTAACATCAAATTCACAAATACAAAGTATTAAATTTCTGTTCCCTAATCCTAACATTATACACAGAATTTTGAAAAATGTCTTCTGGAAATTATGGAAGCTACCTAAGCATTTGAAATGCTTGATTCTATTTTTTTTTTTTTTCATTATGAAAAGGCTAAATCCCCTCTCTCCGAAAGTGAAATACTTAAGTGGTAAAGGAATACACTTGAATTCTGAGATAATCTCATGTTATTCAGTACTGTAGAGAGATACTAGTTATCATTTCATTGCATTTGGCATGGGGCACAATAAACATTCCATTTTATGGAGCCACAGTAAATATTGTTTTTAAGGACACAATAAATTACAGAGAATGATTTGCTGTTCAAAGGCCATATGGTCAGAAGGAAGAAGGCTTAACTGAAACATGAGGAGATGAGGGTAGCCAGAAATTTCCTGTCTAGGTTAGAACTAGAGATGTTACTCAGGGTCATTTTGGAATTTCTTATATTGAAGTTTTTGAAAGCACAATTGGTTCTCATTTGCCAGTGATACCCTATCTGGAGGGAGAAGAACAGACTAGTATTTAGCAGTGTGTCAGTGGACTTTCATGTAACAAAGTTCATGTGACAAGAACTTAGTGTTCTGCAGTTCAAATCATGTCTTCTGTAAAGCAACAATTATGTAGAATAAGAGGCTGTCTGAATGCAAAAATAGCAAGACAAGAAGAAAGCTTTGTCTCTGCTCCCGGGCAAGCTTCTAAGGACTGTTGGATTCCTTTTATTTATTTTTATTGTATTATTTTATTTTAATTCCACTGTAGTTTACATACAGTGTTATATTAGTCTCAGGTTGGGTTACTTTTATTTAAAGCAATCATTAGGTCACTCTTCTTCAGCCACAAGCAATAGAATTTATGTATATGGGGAATCCCAGTGGACAGGGATTGTGTCCAATTCCTCTTTTTGTTCCCAGAATCTGCACAGGGCCAGTGGTATAATAGGCTTTCTCCATCAATGTGTGTGGATGAATGAATGAAGTAAATAACAATTGATTAGGCTTCCTGATTTTTTGGAGGCTGAGTGCCCTTTTTCAAGGACTGAAGCTGTAGTTTTATTACTTCAGCAACAGAAAGTCCTTGGGGTACACATGGATTTGAGGTTTTCTTATGATGATCCTCCAGCGATCCTGTCTCCTGGATGGAACCTTCTCTCTTGGGTGGTCAGTCGCCAGATGGCTTTTCTGTGGTCACCATCTCCTGTATCCTTTACATGTCAGCAGGCGTCACACTGTGGATGGAGCATTGAAGGGACACTCAATGGACTGATCCCTTTTTCTGCTTTGTCTAAGTGAAAGGAGGGAGTGTAGATGCTGACACACTACTTGCTTCCCATCAGGCTGTGCTCATCTAGAGTCTTCGATGACCACCCCCACCCCCTGCCCCTGTTAGGCTACAAGTAGGTTGTTTCTTGTTCTGTACTTCTTGAAGTACAGACTTGAAGAAAAAGTGCTATTCCATAGAGACCCCAATTTAGGCAGAGTCATTTATTTTAGGCCCTTTGAAACAAATTTGAATTTGAGTTTATGCTTTTCCTCCTGCATCATTATCACTTTCAATTTCTTCTGTGGTTCTCCTTCTCTCATTCCACGTCTACTCCTATCCAAGCTGAAGTAATTTCTTCATATGAATAATCTGCTTTGAAAAAATATTTTGGATTTACCATTGCTGACTAATAGAATTCTGTGGAAAACCTAGTGAGACTGTACTTAACTTATTCTGCCGAAATGTTGCCTTTATATACTATGAACATCTTCAGAGTATCTTCTTTTGAAATTGGGTCTCACTTATTGGAAAAGCCTAAATTTCGAAGCCAGTACATGGCTGTGTTTTTTGTTTTGTTTTCTTTTGTTTTTCACAATGCATGCATAGTTTCCACCACAGTTTGGGCTTTTATTTTTATTCTAGGGGCTTATTAACTGTTTTCATCTAACTTCTTGATGGAATTGTCTCAAAATTCATGAAGGAGATTTTCTTGGATATTATCAAGGGTTGCAGTTTTGTCCTATTCATGAAATGTTCTGCCCTTTTTAGAATAACATAAAATTCTTGGTAACTTTAAAATCCAAGGTTTTACAATCATTCATGAGTACATTTTTCCTTGACACTTTTCTCCTCATGCAGAAAAAGTAGGGCAGTAATAAATGATGAGAAGCTTAATGGCAAACCTGCAAGGTTTTATTTTTGGTGTCCAAGGCTTATAATATTTTCTAAATTAACATTTTTGACCAATACATATTTTGATTATTTCATCAATCGATAAATCATTTATTAGCTCTTTAGAATGCCTAGATCCTTTCCCCTGATCTACTCCTTTAAATGTCATATTCTTTCCCCAGAGAAAAAAATATCTGTATCTCATGATGTTTATGCCAGATTAATGAGAACTCCGTTAGCAATGCTCAGGAGATATTTTTTTTCCAGTGCAAGGTGGCTTTACTACGATGTCATTTATTTATCATTATCTAAAATCTTGAGACAATTTTACATATGATAAAGACTAAACAATGGGCTTTTTAATGTATCCATGTATGATTATCAACCATTTTCAGGACAAAGACTTCTTTCAAGAGAAAAAAAAAAATCAAGGGTTTACATTATATAGTAGCTGTATCTTCCATTTGCATTGTTTCATAAAAAGTACACGGCGACAAAAAGTGGCTTTAAATTCAATAATCCGGGTGCCTGGGTGGCTCAGTTGGTTAAGCGACTGCCTTCGGCTCAGGTCATGATCCTGGAGTCCTGGGATCGAGTCCCGCATCGGGCTCCCTGCTCGGCGGGGAGCCTGCTTCTCCCTCTGACCCTCCCCTCTCTCATGTGCTCTCTCATTCTCTCTCTCTCAAATAAATAAATAAAATCTTTAAAAAAAATTCAATAATCCTTCTAACTTTGTTATCACGACAGCATTTACATATACCTGAAAAATACAAGTATATAACAAGACAAGAATACACCCACAATTATTTTATTATGCTATCAATGGGTCATGTTGGGGAGACCTTTGCCCAGTGGATCCCCTACAATCATTTCATAACTTCCCCCACTCCAAGAGGATTGTGACCCACAGGATGGACCCTGCAGGTTCAGGAAAGGCCATACTAGTCAACTCATCTCATCCTCTTATGGTCAAGAAAGTAGGCCACTGGGCATTTGATGGGACAAATCCTATAGCAAAAAGGAGAAAGATTAAAAGCAATGGCCATAGAAAATCTGGCTGTTGGGGAAGATAAGAGCCGGAATTCATCGACATTATGGAAGAGTGTTCAATCTTCAGAAGCTTGCTTTTCTCCACAGGGAGGAATATCATTATGTCCTTTTCCCTAGATGAGCCCAATTCTGGTATCAGAATACCTAAGATTTTACGGCACTTTATATTCTGATTTAATACTTATTCAAGGTTTGACATGAGCTTTCTTTATTGGTGAGTATCATGTAACAGCCACTTCTGGACTAGACAATCCCTTTCTCCTGGGTTACTACTCAGGGGCTAGGACTGACGCCACTTTGCCACTGTTTGGAGGGAGAAACAGGAGATTGAAAGTGTCAGTAGATTTTTGCCATGTGCACTGACTATACAAGAAGAGATCCTTTTTAATTTTCACTATAAACCTGTTGAGCACCCGCTAGTGCCAAGCATTGCGTTGGCTCATGGAAATTCACAGTTTTGTTAAAGAAAAAAAAAAAAAAAGCATGGCACCTGCCCTGAGAAACACACGTCTAGTGGAGACAAAGATGTGGTGACAAGCAATTACAATCACATGGAAGCTTTTAATAGAAAGAACCTTGCTAGAATATAATAGAAAGAAATAGAAATTTGGCGGGAAAGTAAAAGGAGTCTTATGACTTATTCCAAGTATGATACTGACCAACTGAACAATTAAAGACGAAGAAATAATTATCTGCCCTTTCAAGTCTCTTTCTAGGATATGTACGTGGCAGAAAGTGCCTGTTGCCTCAGTTACAATGTCCCCTGAGTGGAAAGTTGAGTTTAGTATCCTGCCAAGGACTAAACCCCAAAAACATTTCCAAGTCACATCAATGGTTCTTCTGGACCAAAATTGTCTTCACGACCACAAACCAAGACAAAATATTAACAAGACACACTACTGATAAAAATGCTTGTATCCAAGTTACATAAAGACCCTTCAAACTCAGAATTAAGGAAATAATTCCATTAAAAATGGGCAAAAGATTGGAATAGACATATCATCAAAGAAGATACATGGATACCAAATGAGCAGATAAAAAAGTGTTCAACATAGTCATTGGGGAAATGCACATGAAAACCACACTGGGATATCACTATACATCTATTAGAATACCTAAAAATAAAAAAATGATGACCACACCAAGTATTGGTGAGAAAGTAGAGGAACTAAACCTCACATACTTCATAAAATGTTTTAACAACTTAGGAAAATATCTTGGCAGTTTCTTTTAAAGTTCAACACCCATCTACTATATGTGATTCAGCTACTCCATGTTCAGGCAATTCCACAAGAAAAATGAAAGCATATGTCTATACAAACACTTAGACATGAATGCGCAGAACAGCTTTGTTGA